TTTTTGAGACAGAGAGAGACAGAACATGAACAGGGGAGGGTCAGAGAGAGGGAGACACAGAATCCGAAACAGGCTCCGGGCTCTGAGCTGTCAGCACAGAGCCTGATGCGGGGCTCAAACTCACAGACCGCGAGATCATGACCTGAGCCGAAGTCGGCCGCTTAACCGACTGAGCCACCCAGGCGCCCCCAGAGTGTCTTAAGTAAACGATCTTCTCTGTGCTAGAGTGTCTCCACCTCCTGATATCAATATCCCCTGCCAGAGGCGGAAAGCTGCCGTTCCGGTACTCTTTGACATCCGCCTCAAACACTGTAGCAAAGTAAACACATGCTTATACACACGCATATGCAAACGTTCACACGCACAGAGCTTTCTTTTAAGCCTGAAAAAATCACTCAAGCACTGGGAAAATGAACGTTTTTCCAGGAAGGACCGGATGCTCTAGATGTTTTAAGTACCATTTATTCATGCTGTCTCTGCATAGACAGATGGAGGGGGGCAGTGTGGGAGGGTACAGCTGACTACTGAGAATTGATAGAGGTCTCTGTTCTCCTTTGCTAGTCACAAAATTCTGAGCTGTGTGAGGACCAGCAGGTGAGGAAAGCCACTGTCACCGAGCCCGTGCATTCCTGCATTCGTTTAAATATTTCAGAATGGAATTTCTCCCCCTTTACACACTTTTCCCCACCCTGTTTATCTCCCTGGGTGAGGAGGAGGGTCTTTAAGAAGACAAAAACACAGAGACTTTGTGAGCATAATGGCATGTCCGGATTATGGTAGAGGCAGTCAAGATACAGAGGGAAATATTGCCTTGCTGTGTAGACGCTCTACTATGAAGAACCTGGGAGATACGAGGCCTCTACTTAAGGTGCAGATTAAGAACCTAGAGCTCCTTGCCCTCCAGAATGGAGGTCAGGAAGGATGCTCAGAGCCTAGAAGGCTACCGGGGGCCACGAAGGCAGAGGCAAAGGGTAGAGAGAGCACTCAGAGTGGGGAACAAAGCAGAGCAGAGAAGAAGGGAAATCAGGCAGAGAAGGAGAATGTTCGTCCAGAGCGAATCTGCAGGGGCTGAAACACGGCCTGCTGGGAAACCATGTTCCCCCACCTTCTTAACCAGGTATTCATTTTTTATTTCTGTCAAGGGCCTCTACCTGTCTGTCCTTCCAAGTGTTGAGTCATATCTGAAGGCTTGCATCAGCAGTGAAATATTCTCACCACATGGCAAGTAGAACCATGGAGGTCCTTCTCTAGGGAGAGTCAGGACTGATCATAACCACAGGCTGGGGAGTCAATGTGGGGATGCAGTTCTTGTGCCTCACTCCCCTGGATGTCCTCCAGAACCAGGTCCTGTCTCTGTGCTCATCTTCATTTGTGCAGCCTCTCTTGATGAGCTCATCCTTGCCTATGATTTCACCCACCAGCTCTGATGAATAACCAATCTGGCTCCTCGTCTGCCATCCATCCCCGACCGTAGCTCCGTGTGGACCTGCCCCCCTCTCTTGGTTGTCTGACCCTCCTTGCACTCAACAGGTCCAGCTGAGAATTCAATTCCACACAAAGACTTCTTTTCTCCATGACCTATCCCTGACCTTGGGATCATCTCAAGACTTCGCGTTGCTCGGGTCCCAAAGCCATTCTGCCGGCGGGGCCTGAGGTCTTTCCCTTCAAACTATACCTTCGTTATGGACAACGACTATCCTATGCTCACTGCCTCCACTCTAATCAAACGCATCGTGACCAGCCTGGAATGCTCTTTTTACTTCTCTGTCTCTTACGCCCTGCCACATTTCAAAGTTTTCATTTCCTAAAGCCTTATCTGACCCCTCAAGACCACATTTGTCTCCTTTCTAGAACTTCTATTCGTCCTATTCAAAAATTGGTTATTGAAGGTCTACGGTATACAATGTGTGAGGTGCTGAGGGCACGAAGAGTGAAGTACCAGGCTTCAAGGAGATTAGACTAGTAACCATCACACCAAACATCTCGCCTTTGTTTTCTCTCTCTTCATTGTGTTTCCCCAGCCAAATTCTTAAAGATCCAGGACTATGTCTTAAATGTCTTTTGTGAACCCCACGGTGACAGACTATAGGGCATAACATATTCATATCAAGCGCTTGTTCATTATATGCAAGACGGGTGGCAGAAAAAGACAAGAGATACATGTCGACTGCAGTGTTTTCCTAGATTAGAGAATTATCTCTGGTTAAGACAAAAAAAGCACATCAAGAAATTAAAGAAACCAGACTGTATTGGAGTAGTGTTTTACAAGTCTAACCAACAATTCAATGTCATTTGACAAATTATTTGATTCAGAGCTTAGTAGTAGTTGAGAACCCCTTCCCAAATTCCATAAGCATGAACTGATCGTCACATATTATGATTAAAGAACTAATACGAAAATGATTTGTAACATTTTAATAATTTAAAGGCAGGTGTTTGAAATGTCCGAAGAGATGTTACAAGATAGAAGTAAGAGCAAATTGAGAAGCAGCAAACACAAATTCTCAGATAAAATCATTCTGTGCTAGTAAGGACAAGAGAACTGATAGGATCTAAACACATGAGGCAATCCTGCCATCCACTCTGCAAGGTCCCTTGGAACCAGGGACAACACAGGGCTCAGGCAATACCAATGATGTCCTTTCTATGTGTCCCCAGGAAAAAATTTTTTGTGAATCACAAGTGGAGGAATATCATTTCCCCCAAATGTCAAACCATTTCTAAGAAAAAAATTGGGAGATATTTCACTCGTCTAAATTTTAAGTGAGTATAGTTTTGATTCTTTGAGGACTGGTATGGACCTCTACTTAGACATCCAGTCCAAGGAACACATGTCACTCCATCCCAGAAGAGATCTTCACATGCTGAACAGAAGCTCAAGAATTCAGATTCAAAAGTTAGTCCCCGGCACATGTTTACTGTCAAATTTCATCTTTTAAAAAAAACGCGTACTCACCTGCCAGAATATGCTGTCTATTGTGTTTCCGAGAAAACCATCGCGACCTTCGGAAGACACGAGTTTGGGGCCAAGAATTGTCATGAATTCATCAAAGTCCACCTGGCCATCCCCTGGAAGGAGAAAATAGAAATATGAGTTGAAAAGTAGTTGAAACTGACCTACTGTCCCCAATGAAATAAACATCACCATGCTTTGCTTCTTGGCATGACCTCGGTCAATGAAGAGTTGAGAGCATTACTGAAAATTGTCCAGCTGTACGTGATAGAAATTTCAGCTTTATCCTCGTCACCCACGTATAAATTTAGAGATCAAGTCTTTCCCTTCTTCCATACCTGTGCCTGCTCGATCTTCCTTGTTCATTCAATCGCCAGTCCCCTTCTGAAGACTGTGGTAGGAAAACATTTCCAAGAATTAACGTTCCCAGTTATAATTATGTTACTACTGAGATGGCTGTCCGCCCTCACACTCTTATCACCACACCGTCTCCCATACAGTTCTGAGTTTACACCCCCTCACAGCATGAACGATCATGCTTTTTAAACATCAGTGGCATCTTTTTTTTTTTAAACATTTATTTATTTTTGAGAGAGAGAGAAAGAAAGACAGAATGTGAGGGAGGGAGGGGCACAGAGAGAGGGAGACACAGAATCTGAAGCCGACTCCAGGCTCTGAGCTGTCAGCACAGAGCCTGACGTGGGGCTCGAACTCACAAACCGTGAGATCATGACCCGAGCCGAAGTTGGATGTTTAACCGACTGAGCCACCCAGGCACCCCAGCATCAGTGGTTTCCTTATCTTTGGCAAAGAACACAGTATAGCATTCAGGTCCCACTATCCCTTTCGCCGCCTTTTGTTCCCCACCCCTACACAAAATGCCATGCTCTCTCAGAACTTCATGCCCCTGTACATGCTGTTCCCTCTACCCAGGATGCCGTCTCCCCACTGGTCTACCTGATGAACGTCAACTCATTCTCTAAGACGGAGCTTAAATATCAGGTTCTCTTTTTGTTTTTCTTTCTGACCCTCATCTCACTGGACAGAGTTGGCCAAACTCGATCTATCATAGGCCCTATCAGTCCATGTCCCAGTCACTGGTTTGCATACCTATTTCCCACCTGCCATCGTGAGCTCTGCAAGGTCACGGACCCAGTCTGAAACTTCTTTGCATATTCCCCATGATGGCGGGTACTCAGTATGTACTTACAGAGTGAATGAATATCTCTTACTTGTTTTTTCTTTGCTCAGTTCAGCATCTCTCATGCGACATCTGACACTGTCCACCAAAGGGTGGACTTGAGCCAACTTAGACAAAAGCAGGCCTTCAAGGTATTGTCTGAGCCCCAGTGACTCATCAGTGTGGCATTCTGTGCCCTTAGAACTGCTCAAGGGGGGGCGTCTCCACCAAGAGCTCTCCACGTTAGCCCAGCTGGTGCAGACGGCCCAGGTGTCTGCACACAAGTTTGGCAAAGTGCAGACGCATCAATCCATTCCCAGAGTGCAATCACCTTCAAAGAGTCCTCGTTCAAAACCTATTTCAAAAAGCTGAGCAGATGTCATCATCAAGATGCCAATAATTCCGAAAAAGAAGTCCAAAAACAGATCGCGGTGTAGATAAAACACCCTAGGGGGTAAGGGAGGCGTGGAGAGTCAGTGGGAAAGGAAAGATTTAGTACCAAATGGATAGGACAGTCACTGGGCTACTGGAGGAAACTGATTTCCTTCTCACGGTGCAACACGACAGAGGCATCTAAAATTCCACCCTTACTGGTCATCGTGAGAAGGCTAATTCAAGCAACGATGAGTTACCATCTTACCTTTCAAATTAGCAAAGGCTTCTAGAATGCTGGCAGAGATACAGAGAAGAGATGGGCTGTCTTATGCCTTCCTGGTACACTCATCCCGGATACTGGATACGGACTGACAGTATTTTAGATGCTGTAACATGCTGATTCCTTTTGATCTAATAACTTCACTTTTTAAAGAGAAATACGAGGCAAGGAAACTATCTTAAATGCAGACCAATATATTTGCCCCCAGATAGTCCTCCAGTATTTGTGAAAGTGGGAAGTTGGAAGCGTAAGAAGGGCCCAGTCTTCCTGGCAATCACACTGAGCTAGCTCCATGTGGCTCCAAGTCTCAGACAGAGGCACACTCATTATCCACCTGCATTGACCCTCTGCTCACCCCGAGTCACCCTTGCTTGTCTGGTGCCAGATGGCCAAAAAATCTCAGACTAGAATATGCATTCTCTATAGATATGGTATCACCCTTGATGAGGTGAAAATTGATTCCTAGGAGATAATCTTAGATATTACAATGGTTTGTGACCCTCTTAGGGTCTTAGTACATAAGCAGATACACAAATCATCTGTGCTATTAATATCCCATGGGGTAAGGCACTAGGGGAACAAATGTCTTAAAAGTCTCCTTGTAGTGGGGTGGCTCTGAAGAAGGAGGAGAAAGAGATGGAGAAGGAAGAGCAAAAGAAAGGTCCAGAAACACTGGACAAGAAGATGCCCCAAGTACTAGAGTTCCCCTTCCCCAGCCCTCCTTCTGGACTATTGTTCTATTAGCAGTGGCCATCATCCCAACTGTCTGTCACCCGAGGCAACATCTAACGGTTCACAAAGGCTTAGAAGCTCAAGGGCATGGATCATTTTTTACGAAGCCCTATGACCTTAACTAAAATGTGTTCACCAAGCCGGGTCCCTCAAGCCCCTGGCCATAGTGTAGTGAGAGCTGCTTTCTCTCACTTGGAAGCCTAATTGGGGGGGGGGGGTGGCCCATAGGATGTGGCGGGGCACCTGATTCTCAGAGCCAGGAGAATCAGGGCTGTCTTTGAACAGTCCGCTTGCCAGGTGGGAGGACAGAGACCATTCACCTCTCTGAAACCTCCCCTCCCCCATAGGGTGATGGGAGTGGGGCAGTGCAGAACTGGTATATGTCAAGGGTCCACACGGAATTGTGGCCAAAGTCCTCAGGGAGTGTTCACAGACGGTGCTGAGAACCATCTTGGCTGAGAACACCAAGCCCGAAACTGACCAGCAGAAACGGCCTCTGCGGCAGGAGCATCAGAGACCCCGGGACAAGTCCCAGTACAGGCTCGAGTCTGCACGCTTTGAGAACATAAAAGGTCTTCCTAGCTGGCCACTTAGGAAGGAATGTAGTGGGAAATTGGGCGAGATGGCCTTCAGGGACCTTAATACAAACGAGCATTGCCTAAAAGCCATTTCTTCCCCAAGTTGCCACTCGGCCTGCAGTTGGGGGTCTCGGTGATTCTCCTTGGATGGTCAACTCCCAGCGGACCCAGGCCTCTCGCATACGACCCTCCAGGCATCTGAAACCTCTTCCGCTGAAAAGAACTGCTCTAATAAACGAGGTCTGTCCAGGCCTGGCCCGGTGACATCGGATTGCCATTCTGGAGTCACCTGCCCCCAGAGACAAAGGTGGGTGGCTTCCCAGAGCCACCACATGTCATGGAATGTGACAGACTGAACAAGCGCTCTCCCTTTGGTGAAATTATTTCACGAAGCTCGAGCGAGAGAGCACCTGCAGGATAAGAAGAAGGCATTCGCTCCTGGCCTCATCTTCCTTTCTCAGACTTCCAGATATCATGGTGCACTTAGTAAAAAGGGCAGGAAGAGAACCCTGCTAAGGACTGAGTCCTGTTTCGTCCCCCCACCATGGATGTCAAAGCAATGCACTTGAAACTGGGGCAGGAAGCCTCAGGAGGGTCAGGACCACACATCGTTCGTTAAGACCAACCAGCTGAAAGATTCACAATGAGGCGAAATTATAGTAAAAATCACTGCTAAATACAAGGAAGGAAAGGACTACACACGAAAAGGGGGTGGGCTCCGAACAGGGACACGGGTTAGGAGGAAGACACAATGTCTGACTCCACTGACATCAATTAACCACAGGGGCGCCTGGGTGGCTCAGTCGGTTGAGCGGCCAACTGCGGCTCAGGTCACGATCTCGCGGTCCGTGGGTTCGAGGCCCGCGTCGGGCTCTGCGCTGACAGTGCGGAGCCTGCTTGGGATTCTCTCTCTCCCCTCTCTCTGCCCCTCCCTCGCGCCCCGTCGCTCTCAAAATAAATACATGAACTTAAAAAAATAAATAAGAAAAGAGAG